AGCATGCCAGTGAGTGCTAGCGTTCCACCGTGTCTAACCCGTCATTCATCGTCAGAGGCGGGGATCCGTTATGCCCCACGGGGTCAGAGAGCAGGGGCGTTACTCTGTGCTTAATCCCTTATTCGTCATCAGATTCCTCTGTAATCCAGGTTTTTTACCATTTGCCATCCCTGCCTGTACAGTGTGAGGTATTCTTTCTTATGTGCACAGAACCTACCTCCCTCACCCCCCTAAAATAGCTCAAGCCATCCCTCCACAAACAGTGATGCCCTCTCCATTATAATTAATGCTTCTTTTTCACTGTGATACACAGACTGACCCTTGCCCCTAGGGACTCGGCGGTGTGAGCCCACCCTGGTCTGAGGGATGGGTGCAGTGTGGGCGGAGTGGAGACACAGTGCCCCCACTGCAAAGGTATCTACTTGCCAGTTAGGACACTCATGACCTACCCTCTGCCCCTTGCAGTGGTTCCCACGTCACCGCCTCTTCGCTCTGAGCACTTTAAGCCGTGCAGAGACAAGGACTTGGCCTACTGCCTGAATGAAGGGGAGTGCTTCATCATTGAGACACTCACCGGCTCGCACAAGCACTGCAGGTAAGGCAACTGGTCCCACTCTCTCCCCCTCCCTCCCCCTCCATCTCCCCCTCTCCCTCCCCCTCTTTCTATCTCTCAGTCCCTCCATTTCTCTGTCCCCGAGATTCTCCGCCTTTCAAATCTTTTGAATCTTTCATTTTGTGCTGCACTGATGTTTTATCCGGTTGAATGGGGAGTCGCTTTCAGGGCCGCCCTCACGTGCCCCCTCTCTCCATGCCCTGCTTCCCTCATCAGATGATGAGGCGGAAGGGGGTGTGGGGTGAAGAGTGGAGAGCGGAGCATTGGCACCGATGCGCTCCCAGCACTGATAATGTCTGCTTAAGATAATTGGGCTTCTCATGCTCCTGACTGACTGCCGTCTGAGAGGCTGAGCTTCTGCAAACATGCCGAACGTAGCTTATAATTACCTGGCGGCGTAACATCACCGTGTCACACAGCCCAGCACTGCCGTCAGCTGCAGCTGTGCCACTGAGCCCCACTGAGCCACTGCCCGCCTATCGAACCACGGCCCCTGGCAGGTAGCCAGCCAGCACCAGGCGCGGTGAGGGGGGTGGGGAATTTCTCACCAGGCACTGGCTCGAAATCTCACTAACACACCAGAGCGCTCCATTCTCACTTCTTTTCTGGAAGTTTCCCCTGATGATACTCCGGTGCTGGGTGGAGGGTACAGACTGCGGAGGTCTCTGTGGATCCGTTGAATCATCGCCTCTCTGTGTTGGCTGCTTGTTCCCTCTCCTACGTGTCTGAACCCACTGCTCCCTGACTGACTCAGCCGTTAGGCCTTTCCAGCACTACTTGACGTTCCGAGGAAAGTTTGAGCTTCCAGGAAACCAGGTGACAGTGAGGTGGGAGCCGCTCCCATCTGCATATCACCATTCCCTGCTGCTGCCTCGCTCCTCACTCTGGTACTCCTCCTTTACGCTGGCTAAGGCAGAGTGAGCTAGCCTTATTTCTGCTGTCACCATAGCAACAGAGCTCTTTGCAGTGAGGAGTCCCGGCAGCAGTTCTGAGGCCCTAACCCCTCCTCGTCTCCGGCACCTCGCGGCCGCTAGCAGAGCTCTCCGTAGCCCTATGTGACGAGCCAGCTGACAGCAAGGCTAATGCTAGCGGCAGCGTCACCTTCACACTGAAGCGGTAACTCAGCAGCTGTGGACTTCATGCTAATGTCCATTTAGCCTAACAGAGCAGTGTGCCGCTCACTTTTCGCCTGAGAATGGAGCGGCTGCTATGCAGCGCTGCCTCTGAACAGTAGGTGGGCATGAACAGCATGTTTCCATGTAGCTAGGTGATCATGTGATGTAGCGACTCAGGCATGTAGCAAGCTAGCCATGTAGCTAATATAGTGGTACCGATGTCGGGCGTCCTGTAAGAAGAAACTGTGTTAGCCTGTAGCTACGTGGCTATGGGGCCACTTTGCTGCATCGTCATGTATTCGTATAACTAGACTGTTGTACTGTTAACTCCCCTTGTAGCCATTGAACAGGAGACAGCCATTTTGGAATGCCATCCATTAGTGACAAGGGCGTGTCAGGAATACGTCTCTGAGGTGCTAGCTCAACATAGCTAAACATCGCCAGCCAGAGAGCATGTGGCATGCAGTCAGAGGCACGCATCAGACGGCGGGTCCGTGTCAGGACGGCCCGACCTGGCAAAGGCGGGGCCTAACCAATAGCTACCATGACAACACATATCATTTTAATGGATACGATGTCCTTCTTCTCTTAGTTTCTCTGTAGAGCACAGAAGCAGCCAGTGATTAAACTGTCAGCACGGCAGCAGATTTAGAGTCAGCGCTCTAATCCTCACTGCATCTGGCCCTCAGCCTCGGGGGGACAGTGGACATTTTTACAGGACCCCTGAGTACGGGGGGATGAGGATGGAGTGTGGAGCGGTTTCTCACAGAGCTGGTGTCATCAGCAACTCAAAAACACGGAGAGATCAGTGACTGTTCATCCACAAGGAGGAACTGAAAATATCCGCTGAAGCGTTGCTCTCCGCGCATGCATCGCGCGTGACGGACAGATCACCACCTCGCATGGAAAGCTGTCCCTTTGCATCCCAACTGAATGGAATTCATAGTGAAATGCATGTGGACAGCGTTCCTGCTGGAATGCCAAGGAAGAAAGAGGGCAGAACCAGACCGAAGACGGCAGGTCGGGTCGATGTGCTCTCATTCCATTACAGCCGTAGAGTTGCGCAAATACGGCGGGGCTAGTTCAGTTAACATGATTAGTTGCCATAGTGCTAAGTAATCTCACATATAAGCACCATTAGACAGAAAAACATAAACAGTTCTAATACAAGAAAATGCTGAACCAGCAGCTATGTGTACAAGAATATTGGGATTGAAAATGGGCTAAATCCAAAGCTTTGGCTGTTTAATTGAGCAATTGCACTGCACAGCACCGTGTACTATGGCATATCCGGAACTGAGTTGTAGCACCGTACATTGTGGGCTGAGGATCTCAGAAATGACCACCTAGCCATTGATAAAGGTTCATATAAGTGAAATTTTATTGTTCCCCACAGGATCATGTGGTGGGAAGATCACAGAATGACTGTAGAATAATGTATAGGATCAGAATCACAGAATGAATGTAGGGTGAAGTATAGGATCAGGATCACAGAATGACTGTAGGGTGAAGTATAGGGTCAGGATCACAGAATGACTGTAGGGTGAAGTATAGGGTCAAGATCACAGAATGACTGTAGGGTGAAGTATAGTGTCAGAATCACAGAATGACTTTAGGATGAACCATAGGTTCAGGATCACAGAACCTTCTGTGACCCCTTCTGTCCCACGCCTAAGACCTCATTGCTACACATGCCTAGCCTTTGCTGCCCTCTGTTTCACCTTCACAAAGGCCTGTGGAGCGTGGTCTGCTCCTGATAGGTGAAGCGGGTACCAAACACATACGCCGGGCATCATGGGAGTGATGTGCTTTGCAGTGGCACATCGAAGGCTTGTCATGCACGGTATCTGGCAGCTTGTGGATTAGAAACACAATTTATGCTCTAGGAGGCCTCGATCTAGGGGGCCTGGCTGTAGGACCCTCGATCTAGGGGGCCCGGCTGTAGGACCCTCGATCTAGGGGGCCCGGCTGTAGGACCCTCGATCTAGGGGGCCCGGCTGTAGGACCCTCGATCTAGGGGGCCCGGCTGTAGGACCCTCGATCTAGGGGGCCCGGCTGTAGGACCCTCGATCTAGGGGGCCCGGCTGTAGGACCCTCGATCTAGGGGGCCCGGCTGTAGGACCCTCGATCTAGGGGGCCCGGCTGTAGGACCCTCGATCTAGGGGGCCCGGCTGTACGACCCTCGATCTAGGGGGCCCGGCTGTAGGACCCTCGATCTAGGGGGCCTCAGTCTCCAGCTGTATGATGGTAAGGCCTTTTGTGTAAATGTGCCGCCTAAGCATCGGAATAGTAAGACCTCTTTCTCCAGAAAGTTCCGTACTGGCGGTTAAGAAGCCGGTGCTGTGAGGGATCAAAGGGCCCAGGAAGTGCTCTCAGCAGAGTGAAGAGCAAAGAGCACTCTCCCGGGGCGATGGCCGCCCCCTTAAGCGGCCGTCGGGATTTCTGTAGACACTTTCACGGCGCATTATTCCGGCGCCCTCCACCAGAGTAATGGACTGAATTATTTGGGTACATAAATTTCAGATGAGTAGTGGCTCCTCTCCACAGTTATACCAACAGCTCGACATCGAAGGGACGGGTCCAGCCCTAGACCCCTCCCCCCAGAGACATCTCTGGGAACATCGCTGGATGCTGTTCTTCCTGGTAGTGAATCCAGGCTTATTTTGAGTTAGTACATAAAAAAAACGTGGCTGCAGATGGGCAATGAAAATATAAAGGCATAAAGGCAAGTAATTCTCAGGTGCCGAAAAGCTATTTGTTGTCCATACATCAAATGGTCCTCGTAAGCCTACATAAACCAATGTGGCTGTCATTTGCAGGACTTTCCCACTGGGGAATCCAGGTGACATGAATCTATTAGCTGCATACAGCATTTAACGATACAGCAGAGGCTCACCAGCCTGGACACGGGGCAGGGGGGCCGCAGTTAGCATTTGTAAATGTGCATTAAAAATTAACAGAATATCACAGCTTTCAAAGTCGAGGCAGTTCTTCCTAAACCATAATCTCATACGGAATTTGCACACTATATCAACCATCCTCTTGGTGGCGCTACTAAGTTTTTAATAATTTAAAGTGTATCATTGAGTTAAGGACTGTATTTAGTAATATCAGATGGCCTGGCATTCATAATCCTATCGGCAACGCCGTAGCCATTTCAAAAATGTATTAAAAATCAATTATATATGCTGGAGATTTAAACTCGTCTGTTTATTATTCACTGCATAAAGAACAACGTGAAACTAATTGTGCTGATTGTTTTGAAATGTGTGCAGGAAGCCGCTCACCTGCTCATTCATCATCATAATCAGGCGAAACATGCCCTCTACACACAGCTCTGCACACAGGCACTGTACTGTGCTCCAGTCCTGCACGCGGCTCTGCCGTTATGGCGAGGCGCTGTGCTCCAGTCCTGCACGCTGCTCTGCCGTTATGGCGAGCCGCTGTGCTCCAGTCCTGCACGCGGATCTGCCGTTATGGCGAGGCACTGTGCTACAGTCCTGCACGCAGCTCTGCCGTTACGGCGAGACGCTGTGCTCCAGTCCTGCACGCGGCTCTGCCGTTATGGCGAGGTGCTGTGCTCCAGTCCTGTTCTCATCCTTGCCAACCATTTCTTCTGCGGATTTTTATTTGGTGGCACCTGTACAGTACAATTTGTGAAGAATGTACTAGAACTGTGGGGAGATGGAGGGTAGAGCTAAAGATACAGAGATGATTGAGGCAGTGGTACACACAAATCTGGCATGAGGCAGTATGACGTGGCAGATTGTCTGTCATTAGATACGGCCATATTTCCTAATGCATGCTCTGCTCCTATCTGTGCCTCTCAGCTGTGCTCTGCACAGGGTCAGGGTCGACGCCATTATT